GGGGATGAGGACACATTTGTAATACCTTAACTAATAAAAAAAAAGAAATTTGAAGATTTTATTTTTGCTTTCTGGCTTTGCTTTGAGTTGAAAATAAGGATTTTTTTTAGTTTGTTTTTTTTTTAAAAACTATAAGACATTTTGTAGATATATAGACCTTTTTTTTTTTTAACCCTCACCCGAGAATATTTTTCCATTGATATTAGAGAGAGTGGAAGAGAGAGGGAAAGACAGAAACATCGATGTGAGAGAAACACATCGATTGGTTGCCTCCTGTACTGACCAGGGGCCGGGCCGGGAGAAGCCTGCAACCGAGGTACATGTCCTTGACCAGAATCGAACCCGGGACCCTTTGGTCCACAGGCCGACGCTCTATCCACTGAGCCAAACCGGCTAGGACTATAGACCTCTAAGATTAGAGCTTGGAGTTCAAATTATTAACTCTCAAAATGATTTTATTACTTGGAAGATATTAAAGTACCATTTGTAACAATAACAAGTTTATAGGGGAATTATTAATTTATTAATAGAAATGTTCCCCTTACCCCCCCGCCCCAAAAAAAAATGGTCAAGAGAATTGGGCCTGCGATTTGGATGTTCTTTTCCTATGGTTTGGACAGTTTCTATTTGCCTTTGAAAATAATTTTGGATGACTTTTACATGACCATGTTATTGTTTTCATAAATGGTATTTTTAGGAATTGGAAATAACAGAAAGTTCTGGTAGACTTGCCACTTGTCCTTAGTAACTTGTGTAACTGAACGCCTTTCCCAAAAAGTGACTGAGCAACACCAGCCCGGAATTGTAAGTGTAAAATGAGTGTTTTTACGTAAGACAGTAGCAATAACAGGCGACGTAACAGTGGTTTGGTTGCTGTTTTTTAACTTGGTTTTCTGGGGTGTGTTTTTCTTTTTTATTTCTGTTTAAATTACAGAAGAAAATTTTTTCTTTTTTTGTTGGCAAGGATTTTTTAAAAATATATTTTTATTGATTTCAGAGATAAAAACATCAATGATGAGAATCATGGACTGGCTGCCTGGGGATCAAACCCACAACCCAGGCATGTGCCCTGACCGGGAATCCAATCATGACCTCCTGGTTCATAGGTCGATGCTCAACTACTGAGCTACACCAGCCAAGCTGGTGAGAATTTTTAAGTGTAAGTGGATAAGGCTCTGGTCTCAAGATACAGTCAGTGCCCATTTTGTTTCAATGTCACTACAGTACAATTAATTTTAGAGTGCCTCCACTTTTGGTCTTTCCCCTCCCACTAAAGATTTTTGGGATCTTTCACTGCCTTTTAAAAAAATTTAATTTGTATTCTCCATTACTTGCTTGAAAGGTAACAAACTCCTAATCACACCAAAATAATATAGTTAAAATTTTAACTTTATTATTTTTCTATTGTAAGAGTAATGCATATTCATTTTATGATAAAAGGAGGGAGCACAAAAGGCATAAAAAAGTTAAATTTATTTTTACTTTTTAGAGAGGGAGAGAGAGAGGAACATTCATGTGAGAGCATAACATCGATCGGCTGCCTCCTGCACACCCCCTACCAGGAATCAAACCGGCAACCTTTTGGTGCGTGGGATAATGCCCAACCAAGTCATACCGGCCAGAGTAAGAAGTTAATTTCTAAATTGCCTGTAATACCATTTGAGGTAAAACTATTAACATTTTGGCATATTTCAACAGTCTTTTTCTATGTATGTTTTAATATAGCTCAGATATTATAATATATAAAGTACTATATCCAGATTTTTCAACATTATATTAAAATTATTTTTCTCATATCAATAAACACCCTTTTTGTAAACATAATTCTAAAGGCAGCCTAACATTCCATCGTAAGAATATACTGTAGTTTATTAAACATTCTCCTAATATCACATATTTAAGAGGAGAGTTAGTAGGTCAAAGGATATAAACATTATTACGGCCACTCTGTTTCCTAAAAAGATTGGTCTGGAGAACACAGGGAGGGGACACGCAGAGCCAGAGGGGAGGAAGGAGGGTCAAGGCCAGCAGTGAGAGGAGGACTCAGAGGTCCTGGCCTAGCCGTTCCAGCTCATCGAGGAGGAAGTCCATATCGGCCTGGGTCAGCGCGGGGTTGGCCACGATCAAGCGGAAAAAATTGCCCCGGGTCCCATGGGGCTGGTAGCCAATCATCATGGAGCCCTCCTTCACCATGCGCTCCTTGAGTACTGGGGCCACCTGTGGAAGGATACAGAGAGTGTCAGCCTGGGGTCAGGTGAGGGCTGGGCCAGGTAACTTCCTGGCCAGTGAGTTACCCAAGGTGCATTTCCCTCCGCCCCAGCCACCTTCCGGAGGCAGCTCATTGCTGTGATCCTGACCACGGCCCCAGTTTACCTTTTCCACCATGTCCAACCTGCTTGTCCTTCTCTACCATCTGCTTTATTCCTTACCTCACTTATCTCCAGGTTGGCACATTTTCTGTCAAATCCTAACTTTTCCCTGACTCCCAACACTGTTTTAGTCTAACTTCAAGCCTCTGTCATCCTTAACACCTTCTCCCCCTCTCTGAATTCCTGGAATATTTTTGCTCTGTACTCTGTGATCTAACGTGCATATTTACAGGATTTCCTTCAACATACTGGTTTCAAATAGGTAACTCTTCTTTTCCTAATATTATTCCTTAAGGGCAAGAACAATCGTGTCCTTTCAGGTCATCTGCAGCACCTACTACCAACCTATCAGAGGGATGTAGGACATATCTTCTCAGCTCCAGGAGGCAGGTCTGGACTGGCCTTACTGGTTGTTTTTCCCCAGTATCAGTGAGTAAAGCTCTCTGTCCCGGACCTGAGCTCCCAGTACAACTCCCAGCACAGGGGTCTATGTACACTGGCGACTTATCTGTAATGCCCTCTCTGTCTTCTGCTTACTTTCCAGAAACATTCCCGATTCTCCATCCACATCCCTGAGAAATGAGGACAAGTTGGTGTTTTCCGGTTCAGTCCCCAGCTCAGGAGCAGGAAACCAGCCAAGGGACTTGCCATGCCACCCACAGCCAGCAGGGGGCAGAAACACACCAGCTGCATCCATTTGCTCAACTAGGTTAACCAGAGCCCCAGGGAGGAGAAAGCCTACCTTAGCCAGCCTTTCACTGTAATCCAGACTCTCCTGCTTGCCCCGCAGGCTGGGAGGCACAAACCAGAAACACACATTGACAAACTCTGGCTGGAAGGAATGAGGAAGAGAAAGGTGTGAGCTGAGAAAGTGTCCCCTCTCACTGCTCCTCTGCGTCCAGCAGGGCTTTGCGTGTAGGACAGACTACGAGGACATAGGAACAAAGAGAACAGGGTAGGTCATACCTCCATGACCAACTCAAATCCTTCCCGCTTCTTCATTTCCTCCGCCAGGTATCTTCAAATGGAGAGTGAGCAATCACAGGAGGAGGGGGAAAGAAAACAAAAGAGACCCAGAAGATGACTGGAGAGGCACTGACAGCAGCAAAAGGCTTTGGGGAAGGGACCTGGGGAGGAGAACTGGAACCACCCACCACTCCTACCGGGCAAGGGCAAAGGCCTGGTTGACACGCCGCTCCAGCCCTTGCCCGCCCTGTGCCTTCCACATGAGCCACAACTTCAGACAGTCCACCCGGCGGCCACACTGCACCACCTTGTCTCCCGTGTCCAGGGCCACATCGTAGAACTTGTCCTGCTGGAAGAGGTAGCTGGCCTGGGACCCGTGGCAGCGCTTGAGCAGATTCTGTGGGTGGGTTGAGAGACTGTCAGACCCCACGCTCTCCACCCAGGTTTCCTCTAGCGCTTTCTTAGCTCAGTCTACCCATTCCTTTCCCTGGACCAGGCGGCACTGATGGGAGAGCTGCCAGCTGACTCAGACCCCTTTCTCTGGGTTTTCTCCTAACACCCAGAGTTCTTCCCAGACTCAACCCAGGATCCCTTTAATTGCAACTTCAAGCTGGAAACTTTTCCTTTGCCTGAAGACAGGCCATGGGGGAGTGAGAACCCACTACAGGGAGTTAGGGTGGCCACAGATATTCAGCTTCAGATGGGATGGTAAGTAGAACACAGCAAGGCCAGGACCCCTCTAAGGTTGGATAGAAAAGAAGACAAGGTCTAAGCTGAGAGCAGGGACCAGGTCAGGGCTGGGGAAGGCTCACCGTGGTGTCACGGAGAAGGAGAGCTGAGCACTGCAGGCCTGCTGCGAGGAGCTTGTGGGGGTTCCAGGCCACGGAGTCAGCTCTGGGGTGGGCACAGCAAAGCTGGGTGAGCTGGCTCTTCCTCAAGCTGCCCAGCCAAGCTGCCTTCCCTTTCCAGACCTCAGTAAAACGAGCTTCAGCCTCACCCCGCCCAGCAGCCAGGGTGATTGCTATGTCTGCCACCTGAACTCCAGCCCCAGGCAACCATCTCTCCAAACCCCTCCCACCAACCTCCTTGCCCACTGCCACTGAAAGCTCCCTGTCCATGACTATTCTATGGATCAAGCATTTGAAAAGTGGGATGCAGGGAACAGGGGCTGTAGGCACCTCTGGATCCCATCCAGGAGATGTCTATGGGTCTGTGACAGCAGGACGCTTCCACCCCAGGCAGCCTGTGTAGCAGAAGGAACAGCACGGGCTTGGCCTCAGCTCAGCCCACCCCACCCTGAGGCCCAAGTCCTACTCACATCCACGTGCAGCCACAGTCCACGACGCTGGCACACGTCAGCAATTGCTTCCAGGGGATCAAAGGCCCCCAGAACAGTAGTCCCAGAGGTGGCACTGACCAGGAACGGCACAGCACCCTAATGCAAAAATGCAGAGAGAGAAAGAGGCTGTGCATCCAAAAAGCAACCCAGAGCCTGGTTGCTAGAGCCCAGCTCTGAAACCTCCGCATGCCTGACCTGGGTCCTTTCAACCTTACAAGGTACTACCATCCTCTTTAATTTGCAGGTGAGGACACTGAGATTCAGAGGTGTAAAGAAACCTGCCCCCAAGATGCAGCTCCAGAGATGGAACCCAAACCTAGATCTGTCTGGTGGTCTATCTCCAAAACTCATACTCTTTCAAAAAATTTTAATGCCTTACTGGAAAATCAAATGATATTTTACAATTTCTAGTAGTACAAAAGTTTATAAAGAAATTGAACCCAGCAGGTGTGGCTCAGTGGTTGAGCGTCTACCTATGAACCTGGAGGTCACGGTTTGATTCCCAGTCAGGTCACATGCCCGGGTTGTGGGGCAATCCCCAGTGTAGGGCATGCAGGAGGCAGCTGGTCTATGATTCTCTCTCATCACTGATGTTTCTATCTCTCTTTCCCTCTCCCTTCCTCTCTGAAATCAATAAAAATATCTTTTTTAAAAAAAATAAATTGAGTTAATAGTAAAAAAATGTCACAAAGAAAAACCCAAGCCCAAATGGCTTCACTTATCAATTCTACCAAACATTTAAAAAAGAAGTGATACCAGTTCTTCACTGATTTCTAAAAAAAAAGAGAGAGAGAGAGAGAGAGAGAGGAGGAAACACTCCTGAATTCATCCTATGAGGCAAGTATTAACCTGCTACTTCAACCAGACAAAACATCACAAGAAAACTACAGATAACATCTCTTATGAATACAGATATAAAATCTAAAAGACACGAGCAAACTGAAGTAACAACATAAACAGAACAATACACCGTGACAAAATGGGATTTGTTCCAGGAGTGCAAGCTTGGGTTAATACCCAAAATTCAATTAAAATAATATACCCAAATATGCCCTATCAATAGGAAAAGGGCAGAAAACACATCTCAATGTGGTCTATTGGTCATCTCAATAGAAACAGAAAAACATTTGAGAAAATTCCAACACTCCTTTACGATAAAAATACTCAACAATCTAGAAATTGAAGGGAACTTTCTCAACCTGATCAAGAACAACTACAGAAACCACAGCTAGCCCAGCTGGTTCACTTGTTGGAGTGTTATCCCGTATACCAAAATGATGTGGGTTCCATTCCAGGTCAGGCACATACCTAGGTTGTGGGTTTGATCCCTAGTTGGGGTGCATACAGGAGGCAACTGGTCAATGCTTCTCTCACATCGATGTTTCTCTCTCTCTCCCTTCCTGTGTCTCTAAAATAAAAAACACAAAACATACAAAAAAAAATACAAACCATAGCTAACATTATAATCAATGGTGAAAGACTAAAAGCCTTCACCCTAAGATCAGAAACAAGACAAGGATACCCACTCTCCTCACTTTTATTCAACATGGTACTGAGGTTCTAGCAGGGCAATTAGGTAAGAAAATAAAATAAGAGGCAACCAGATTGAAAAGGAAAAAAAGAGATCTGTTTATAGATAACATGATATTGTATCTATAAAATCCTAAGGAATCCGATAAAACAACTATTAGAATTAGCCTTAGCCAGTGTGGCTTGGAGGTGAGAACATAGGGCCATGCACTGAAAGGGTTGCCTCTTTGATTCCCGGGCAAGTCTCTCTGTCTCTCCGCCCCTTCCCTCCATCCCTTCTACTCTCTAAAAATCAATGGAAAAAATATCCTCAGGTGAGGATTAACAACAACAAAACACATTAGAATTAATAAATGAGTTCAGCAAGTTTGCAGGGTATAAGAGCAATATTAAAAAGTCAATTAGAGCCCAGCTGCAGTGGCTCAGTGGTTGAGTGTTGACCTACGACCTATGAACCAGGAGGTCACAGTTCGATTCCCAGTCAGGGCATGGGCCCGGGTTGCGGGCTTGATTCCCAATTGAGCAGGAGGCAGCCGATCAGTGATTCTCTCTCATCATTGATGTTTCTATCTCTCTCTCCCTCTCCTTTCCTCTCTGAAATCAATTTAAAAAACAACAACACAAGCAACCAAAGAAAAAATAAATTGGACCTCATCAAATATAAAACTTTCGTGCTTCAAAGGACACCCTCAAGAATGTGAAAAGACAATGTAGAGACTGGAAGAAGATATTTGCAAATCATATATCTGATAAGAGATTTATATCTAGAATGGAAAAGAATAAGCACATGACAGGATGCTCAACATCATTAGTCATCAGGGAAATACTAATCAAAACCACAGCAAGATACCACTTCACACCCACTAAGATAGCTATAATCAGAAAGAGAAGTAACAGGTGTCAGTGAGGATGTGGAGAAATTGGAACCCTTTTATACAGTGCTGGTGGGATTATACACTGGAGCAGTCACTTTGAAAAACAGTCTGGTGGTTCCTCGAAGGTTAAATATAGAATTACCATATGGCTTAGCCATTCCACTACCAGGTATATAACCAGAAGAAATAAAAAAAAATATGTTCACATAAAAACTTGTACACAAATGTTTAGAGCAGCACTACTTATAATATCCCCAAACTAGAAATAACCCAAATGTCCATCAACTAAGAAATTAATAAAGTGTGGTATATCTATAGAATGGGATATTATTTAGCAATAAGAAAGAATGAAGAACTGGTACATGCTACAATATGAATGAACCTTGAAAACATGCTAAGCAAAAGAAGTCCATTACAAAAACCATGTATAGGACGATTCCATTTCTATGAAAAATCCAGAATAGATAAATCCATAGAGACAGCACGTAGATTTGTGGTTTCCTAATGGGAAAGAAGTATGGGAATATTGGAGATGGATGGCTAAAAGATATGGGGTTTCTTTTGAGAGTGATGAAAATATTCTAATATTTATTGTACTGATGGTTGCACAACTCTGTAAATATGTTTAAAACCACTGAATTGTACACTATAAGTGGGTAAATTGTATGGCATGAGAATGTAATTCTATCTTAATAAAGAAAGCTGTTACCGCCTGACCAGCATGACTCAGTGGTTGAACACTGACCTATGAACCAGGAGGTAATGGTTCAACTTCCCATGCCTGGGTTGCCGGCTCAATTCTCAGTGGGAGGCATACAGAAGGCAGCCAACCAATGATTCTCTCCCATCATTGATGTTTCTATATCTCTCTCCCTCTCCCTTCCTCTCTGAAATTAATAAAAAAAATTTTTTTCAAAAAAGCTATTACCCAGGCCCGCCGGCATGGCTCAGTGGTTGAGCATTGACCTATTAGCCAGGAGGTCACGGTTTGATTCCCGGTCAGGGGACATCCCCAGGCTCCAGGCTCTCTGGAATCAATTAAAATATTTTAAAAATAAATAAGTAAATAATAAAAAATTAAAAAGCTATACCCAAAAAAGTTTATACAATAAAAGTGATACCCCACTGTTCTATTTTTTTAAATTGATTTTAGAGAGAGAGGAAAGGAGAGAGGAGTGGGGAAACAACAATTTGTTGTTCCACTTATACATTCATTGGTTGATTCTTTTTAAAAAATATATATTTTTATTGATTTCAGAGAGTAAGGGAGAGGAAGAGAGAGATAGAAACATCAATGATGAGAGAGAATCATTGATCGGCTGTCCCCTGCACACCCACTACTGGGGATGGAGCCCGCAACCCAGTGCCCCTGACCGGAATCAAACCAGAGACCCTTCAGTCCGCAGGCCAACACTCCATCCACTGAGCCAAACCAGCTAGGGCCATTGGTTGATTCTTGTATGTGCCTTGACCGGTGATTGAACCCGAAACCTTGGTATATCAGGATGGCGCTCCAACCAACTGAGCTACCCGGCCAGGGCCTACTCTACTGTTCTAATTGTTGCTCATACTGCTACTAGAGGTAACATCCCTATGTCAATAAATTCATATTGTTCCCAATAACAATAGGCTCATCACACTGTCCTTCCTTTACTGCAATTTGCTATATAAACTTTATATATATATACAGACTTAAACATATGGTGAAGGTATTTTGATGTTAGTCTCTATATCCCCACTTTATTCTTTTAAATGTCTACATAGTACTCCAATAATAATAACAACAATAATGGTAGCCAATATGTATAGTGCTTCATGGGCTCTAAATGCTTTACATATATTAATTCACTTAATCCTTACAATGATCCTATGTGATAACTTCTACATTATGCTCATTTTATAAAGGAAGAAACCAAGACACACAGATATGGTATCATAATCTATCTACTGATGGACATTAAATTTTTAAAAATTTTACACTTAGCTCCAGTGCACAGAATTCTAAGTACTGTGATGATGATTTATAGAATAGATCCTAGCAGTGAGACTCTGAATCAGTGGACAGATACATTTACAATTTATAGATAGTGCCAAAATGCCCTCCAAGATGGCTGCAGCCGTCCAATAGCCCCCGTGTGGAGGCCTCCACCCTTCCCACTTCGCACAGCCTGCACTCCTCACACGGGCCCACACATCCTCCCAAGGCTCTCTGCACCGACCCTCAGCTCACAGGAACCTTCCACCTACACCTCAGGCTGCCAGCACCCTCTCTGTGGTGCCGCCTGGGAGTTCCACTCAGTGACTCAGTCCTGCTCCTGCCTCCCAGGGTCCTGTCCCGTCTGTGGGTCTCGGCAGGTTCCCGAGAGGAACACAGCGTGTCCTTGGCCCTCAGGCTCTCTCAGTAGAGGCAGGCACCGAGATCAAGGAGAGGGATGAGGGTGCCTCGATCAGGGAGAGCCCAAAGAATCCTCCAAGAAAAGAACACGCCCAGCTCCACCCACACCACACCCCTGCACCCCAAACTCACTCACCTCAGCTTCGGCCAGACTGATCTGCCTCTCCAGATCCTCAGGGATCATCTTCCCTCTGGAAAAAAAAAACCGAGTGGGTAACGGAGTAATTGCTCTCTAGGCCAGGAAGTGTTGAGAGCAGGGTAATGTGGGGTTCGCAATACAGAGGCCACAGTGTTGATCTTTTCCCTTAGACATCTCAGGGCACAGGGCAGGAGACTCTAGCACTGAGAGACAGAAGCAACTATTGTGTAGAAACAGAGAGTAGAGAGAAGTCCACCAGAGGCGTGGGCCTGCGGCCAGAGCCTCTCACAGCAGGAAGGCATGCTGCACCAAGCCGGTCAGGGCCACAAGGACAGGACCGTCACCTCTCATCCGCCTTGACCACTCGGACACTGTCGGTGCCAAGTCCCAGGAAAGCAGCTCCTTTATTGATGGAGTAGTGACACTGTGGAGAAAGGCAGAGAGCATGTCAGGCTAGGGTGAGAGGCAGGGAGGATGGGGAGGAGAGAGAGACTAATAGAAGTCAAGTGTAAGTTGTAATAGGTGAGATCCTGTAGACCTGGGCTTCTCAAGCATTCATGAGCCTTCAAATCGCCAGGGTCTTTGATTAAATGCAGAGTCAGATACAACAGGTCTGGGGTGAGGCCTGAGATTCTGCATTTCTAACAAACGCCCCGTGATACTGATGCTGCTGGTCCAAGGACCACCCTCTAGGTAGAAAGGGTGTGGACTGTGTCCACCTCACTAGCTGCCCCTTCCCATTCCCTCCCCTACAATTGAAGGGAAGGTGGATGGGAGCCCCTGATTCGAAGGAAGCACATACAATGGGGGCAGGCTGGCCTTGGGAGAGACGGGACTGGGCAGCAGAGAACCTGACAGATCTTGGACTCACTGGCTAGAGGTTAGAATCAGGAGCCCAGGGTAGGCCTGTGCCTCTTCCCCACCTCCTTCGTTGTGAAGAGGGCCAGGGGTGGCAGTGCCCGGAGGCCCTTCTGCTTGCAATCAGGAAAGCGCTGATAGCGGGCCAGGTTCACGGCATACATGTTGGAGACAGAGCCACCTGTCATAGGGAGGGGATGGTGGCAAGAGGGACAGACAGTGGGTCAAAACTGGAGCTTGCCCCTCTTGACCTCTCTACCCAGAAGAACTGATAAAAAAACACACGAGGGATTGGCTCCCAGGTCTCTACAAATGCCACGATAGCCCAGAACAGCCCAGGGATCTAGATCCCCTGACTACATATCCTGGGCTGTCCCCAAGACAGCCCCCACCCGGAGAGAGCAGGCACTAGAGCATTGATCCCATGGGCTGTTTGGCAAACAGGGAGAGGCAGGGTATTGGGCAGCCTCTTTCTGGTGTGGCCAGAGCTTAGCTGGAGGGGAAACAAAGAGCTCTAAGCCCTGCCAGCTTAGAGCAAGAGAATGGTGGGGAAGGAAGAACCCTTTAAAAGGCCAAAGAAAGACACCCCTCCTTCTCACATACCAGGGCAGAAGACCCCATCCCCAGAGCTCCAGCCCACCAACGCCCGGAGTTTTTTCAGCACCTCTTCTTCCATGAGTACAAACACGGGGGCGATTTCATAAGTGTACCTGCCAGGAGAAGGGACAATGAGAAAGGGGAAGGGACAGGGAAGGAGGCCAGGTGAGACTCTCAGAGGAGTCAGAGAGAGCAGGGGGTGAGAAGGAGTGAGGGAAGGGCCCAAAGAGAGGAAGGAGTTGGTGACAAAGAACCAAGGAAGCAAGAATGAGAACAGGCCCTGGTTGGGTAGCTCAGCTGATTAGAGCGTCATCCAACACACCAAGGTTGCAAATTTGATACTCAGTTAGGCACATACAAGAATCAACCAATGGCCTTGGCCAATGTTTCTCAGTGGTTAGAGCGTTGGGGGGTTCAATTCCTAGTCAAGAGCACGTATTGGTCAGGGTGGGTACAGGAGGCAGTCAATCAATGTGTCTCCCTCACATCGATGTTTCTTTCTCTCTCTCTCTCTCTCTCTCTCTCTCTCTCCCTTCCTTCCACTCTCTCTAAAAAATCAATGGAAAAAATATCCTCAGGTGAGGATTGACAATAACAACAACAAAAATCAACCAATGAATACATGAATAAATGGAACAAATCAATGTTTCTCTCTCTCACTGTCTCCTTCTCTAAAAACCAATTAATAGATTTATTTATTTTTTTAAAGAATGAGAACAAACTAGGGTGAGGCAGGAGAAAACTTAGAGAAAGGGAGCCTGAAGGGCACAAAGGGGAAGACTCTGCCAGCAGAGACTTCCAGAAAACAGGGATGGGGAAAAATCATTTTCTTCCCCTCCCCCCAGGCATGTGCAAACCCATATCCTCCGAGGGGTGGTGGAAGGGGCCCTTGGCATGTCTCACTGGCTGGTGTTGAGGCTCTCGGTGACAATACGCCCGGCCAGGGCATGGGGATCCAACCCTGAGAAGAGCTGGTTGAAGAAGCGAGGGTGACCTGGAGAAGGGGACAGGGGGCTCAGAGTCGAGCTGGGTACAAACTCCAGACACTCTCCCCACCAGAACCCAGGACCCACAGGTCTTCACGCTGTAGCGGATCACAGCCTGGCACCGCTCCAGGATTTGCTCCTTTGACTCCCCCTGGCTCCGCAGCTCCAAATCCAGCAGCTGCTTCAGCTCCTCTGGCTCCTTCCACTCGCAGACCTAGGGGAAGAAGTGGGAAATTCTGGGGGCCCTTAGACACTCTATTGACTGCTGCCCAAACCACATCTCAGTATACACAAGACACCACCAACATGCACTTAAAGCAACAAGTCAGGAATATTTTTAAAACAACACATGAACAAGGGTAAATAAACACAGTAAGACCCAGTATATAATCCCTGAGGCACACAGTGGGAGAAGTCTGAGGAAAAGTCTTGTTGGGGGAGCAAAGTTCTGAGCCGCGTTGATGGGCAGAAAGAACAGGGAGAAAGGACCCACCTTCTCGGAAGCACTGGTCCCTTTCCAAATGACTTCATCCACAACAACCCCAAACACGTCCCGAAGCAAGGTTTCTGCAGCCACGGGGTCCCAGTCAAGGGAGGGGAGTGGTTTAGAGTCAGCCATCAGGATAAAATCTGTGAGCAGAGCAGGAGTTATTCCCTACTCAGCCTGCATACCCCACCTGGACCTAACCAAGAACCCCAACCCCAATCCCTTAAGGAGCCTAAGGCCCCAGTCCTGCAGCTCAGTCCTGGCCTTCACTGTATAGACAAGGGCAAATGAGAGCATCCAGGGAGAAAGCCAGTAGAAACAGGTGAGAGGGAAAAAGGCAGTTAGCACAGATTAAGTGAAATCTAGTGGCCACTGCCCACCTAACGCAGCAACAAGAGGCTTACTTTTCTGCTCAGGTCTCTGTTCCGGTGAGCTGGAGGCAGGTTACACAATTTGCTTTTCAGAATGTTAGTACCAGGGAAGCAGAGGGAATGAGTACAGGCAGCAGTCACATGACCATGACATCACTCCCATGACCTTGCCCTAAAGAAAATGGACAGATTTGGGATAGGGACACTAGGTTAAGTCCTCTGAATAATCATTAGCTGACATGAAGAAGGGGGAGATGAGATAAAAGGCAAAAACACGTGCCACATTAACATCAGGGTTAAGAGGAGCAGAGAGCCAGCAGAAAGAGTGGCTTTCCACCTGAACCAAAGGGCCCTGGATAGGGTTCCTGGGATATGTTTGGCAGCGAGACAAGAGCAAGGGGAGGGGAGACTGAGGTGGGGGAGGGAGCCTGAGAGAGACCAGTGGCGGCGAAATGGTTTAGGCAGGCCTCAGAGGCCAACCTCTGCATCCCGCCCCGCACAGACTTTTCAGAACTGTCCCGATTTCTAAAGCCCTCTCCCAGAGCAGGAAGGAAAGGAGGTTGCACTGAGGAAGCATTTTGTTAAACAAGTGTAACCCTGTGCCATGCAGGCTGAGGGCGCTCAATAAACAGGGAGTGGCTGTCTGAAGCGAACACCAGCTGTGTTCATGACAGGGTGCTGGGGACTGAGAAAGCCTCCCTGTCCCAGTGGGAAGACACAGATGCACACGCAACAGTTATACCCAGGGCATGGCTGGGTGCTGACCCCAAGCATTATTCAGGAAAAGAGAAGGCTGAAGACTGGGGAAGATCAGAGTGGGACTGGAGCTGAATCTTCAAAGTGGGCAGGAGAAATGAGATTGGCGAAAAGGAGGAAGAGAGGCATGCAGGGGTAGGGGAGGAATGCCATGAGCTTACATCAGGAAGGAGTACGGCTTGTTCTAAGGTCAGCGAAAGGGCCCAGCTGGCTGGAGGAAGGGTCTGCAAGAGTGATACAGGAGCACAGCTGCACAAGATTATGGGGAGCCTGGAGTGCCAGCCAGGCCAAGGAATCTAAATTTTTTCCTGCAGAAAATGGGAAGTCACTGAAAGATTCCGTGTCAAGAAAAATGTGATGAAATTGATGCTCTCCAAAGACCAGTGTTAAGCAGCAGGATGCAGAAGTAATAGGCTGTTGCCATAAACCAGACAAGAGGTGGTCCACACTGGAATAGGATGGTGTCCGTAGGAAAGGACAGATACAGGAAGCTGCAGGCTTGGCCACTCACTAGATTACACTGAATTCAACACAGACGGAATCTACGTTGGAGGAGAAGGAAGAGTCAAAGATAACCTTGGGGTTTCAAGCCTGGGTGACTGGAAAAATAATCATCCCCCCGAAAGAAATTAGGGTGCAGAAAGGGGAAGCTGGAGGGAAAGTAAATGCCTATTTCTTGGAAACACTCATCCACGTGGAGGTGTCCTGGGGCTACAGATACTCATATGGGAGGTGGTCAGGCCGAACTCTGATGAGAAGCTAGAATAGAAAGCAAATTTGAGAGTCAGGGTACTGCTGAAGCCTTGTGACCAGCTCCTTCAAATTACCATTTGTTCCGATCAATGGCATATGTACTTTCTGAGCAGCACTTCAAAACATACGAAGAAGTGGAAAATTGGGTCTCTGAATGGTTTGCCTCAAAACAAGAAAAGTTCTATTGGGACAGTATCCACAAATTACCTAAAAGATGGGGGAAATGTGTAGCTAGCGATGGACATTACTTTGAATAAAGCACTTTTGATGTTTCTCTTGAAATTATCGTGTTTTCTTTGATTACAAAATCTGCATTTTTAACCGGTTAAGAGCCAATCCGCATTTGGGAACATTGGTGCAATTTCATGTGGTTGTGGATTTCAGTGTGACTCACCTTATGAATTCGGATTTTGTAATCACAACCAATGTGCCCTGACCTGGAATCAAACCAGCAACCTTTTGGTGCATGGGACGACACCCAACCAATTGAGCCACACGGGCCAGGGCTAAGAGAACATTCTTTTGTTTGTTTGTTTGTTAATCCTCACCCAAAGGTATTTTTCCATTGATTTTTAGAAAGAGTAGAAAGGAGGGGGAGAGACAGAGAGAGAGACACATCGATTGGTTGCCTTCCACATGCGCCCTGACCGGGGTCAGGATGAAGCCTGCAACTTGACAGGAATCAAACCGGAGACCCTTCCTCTGCAGGCCAATGCTCTATCCACTGAGTCAAACCAGCTAGGGCTAAGAGAACATTCTTATTCTTAGAAAACATGCTGAAACACACAGCAATAAAGGAGCAAAAATACTGTCAATTTCAGTTCAGAAAAAGACAATACTGTGTGCATGTATCTACAAACATTTTTTTTTTTTTAATATATGTTATTGCTTCTCTACAGAGAGGAAGGGAGAGGGATAGAGAGTTAGAAACATCGATGAGAGAGAAGCATCGATCAGCTGCCTCCCACACACCCCGCACTGGGGATGTGCCCGCAACCAAGGTACATGCCCTTGACCGGAATCAAACCCGGGACCCTTCAGTCTCTAGGCCGACGCTCTATCCAGTGAGCCAAACCGGCTAGGGCACAAACATTTTTAGAAAAATAAAAGCTCATAAAGTTCACCCTTTTAAAGAATACAACTCAGTGGTTTTGAAAAATTTATTCACAAGTTGCGTACTGATTACGTTATTTAATTCCAGACCATTTTCATCATCCCCAAAAGAAACCCCATAGCTACTAGCAGTCACTCTCTATACAAAAAGACTGAAAAAGATGGGGAAAGTCTTCAAAATATTAACTGTGGTTATTTTGGGTATTGGAATTATAATTTTTATTTTCTTATTTATATGCCTCTATATTTTTATAATTTTATATGATAATTTCAATTACTTATATAATTAAAATAAAGGTTATTTTTCAACAACAAAAAAAGATTAAGAAGGAATTAAGGGGCAACAAGAATTCCAAAATACACAAAGCTCCAGGCTCAAGGAATGACCCTAGTACAGTGGTTGGCAAACTGCGGCTCGCGAGCCACATGCGGCTCTTTGGCCCCTTGAGTGTGGCTCTTCCTAAGCCTTAGGAGTACCCTAATTAAGTTAATAACAATGTACCTACCTATATAGTTTAAGTTAAAAAAATTTGGCTCTCAAAAGAAATTTCAATCGTTGTACTGTTGATATTTGGCTCTGTTGACTAATGAGTTTGCCGACCACTGCCCTAGTACATCATGTGCTTTCCCAATTCCTCAACCCACTATCATCCCAAAGATCTGAGTGACAAAGGTAGCCATATACTGCTCATTTCTATCACAGAGCCCAGCTGGCTCTCAGAGAAAGGACTGGGTTTAGCTAGTTCAGCAAACATGGCTGAGTATTTACTAGTTGTCAGCTAAAAGGCCAGAAGGAAGGCTGGCAGGTAAAATGAAGGCATGCTCACCACAACAGATTTGAAGTTTATCATGGATAGGCAGGGCTAATGAACTCTGCTCAACTGGCCCAGAGTAGCCCTCAAAAAGGAAAAAACATAGGCTCTCCTTAAAGCTATAGAGAGCTGGTGCAGGAAAACACTAATTGGTATTCATTACAATACCATTTGAATAAATGATGGAGTGGTCCTGAGAGAAGTGTGTACCAAGGAAGTCTGGGAAGGTCACACAGGAGGGGGCCTGCCTGTGGGCAAATGGATTTGGGAAGGAGCTTCTTAAAGCCCTTTCAGCCAGGCTTGTTAGAAAATGAAAACACTGATTCTATGGTATCTACTGACTCAACACCCACATTCATAGAGAGGCGCCTATTCTCTTTAAGTACCCATTGTGAGGGAGAGGACTAATTAGCCTTCTTTAAGAAAAGCACCAAAACCCTAGATGGTTTGGCTCAGTGGATAGAGTGTCAGCCTGCAGACTGAAGGGTTTCGGATTAAATTCCGGGCAAGGGCACATGTCTGGGTTGTGGGCTTGATCCCCAGTGGGGGGCATGCCGGAGGCAGCCGATCAATGATTCTCTCTCAGCATTGATGTTTCTATCTCTCTCTCCCTTCTTCCTCTCTTCAATCAATAAAAACATATTTTTAAATTTTTTTTTAAAGAAAAGCACTAAATACAGCCAGGCCAGAGGTCACAGGTTCAATTCCTAGTCAGGGCACATGTCCAGATTGCAGGCTAGATCCCAAGTGGGGGATATGCAAGAGGCAGTCAGTCAATGATTCTCTCTCATCACTGATGTTTCTTTCTCTTTCTCCCCCCCCACCCTCTCTCTTTCTCCCTTCCTCTCTGAAATAAATTTTAAAAGGCACCAAATACAAAATAGGCACTCAAAAAAAAAGTTAAGTTTTCATCTTCCCCATTCTTCCCTCCCTTCCCCCAGGTCTTGCACAAAGGCACTCAATAAACATTTGGTGAATCGATAATTTTCAAGTACAGAAAAATAATACTGCATTCCACTAACATTTGATTTGCATAAACCAAAAAAATCTATACTAATGATAACTTAGAAGATTTGCAAAATATTTTTTTCTTCTCAAAGCCTTCTCATCTATAATCTCATTATTTCCTCACAGTAGTGCTAGAAATTAGTCTGAAAAGGTATTTATTTATTTACTTATTTATCTTCATTTTCAAGATGAGGTCTCTTGGGCCAGATAGAATTAACTTGTCTAAGATTACAAAGGTAATATGGGAGCAAGCCTAAATTGCTGATTTCTGACTTCTAGGCTAGTACCTATTAGTCCCTTTTAAGTATGGTATTTCTAACTACCTCTCACCATACACAAAAATAAACTGCAGCTGACACAAAGATGTAAACTAAAAATATACAAGTATAAGAATACCAAAAGGAAATATTTTTATAATCTTGAAGTAGCATGTCATAAAAACCCAAAAGCCACAGGCAGATTTGACTAGGTAAAAAATTTTTAAAAGTCTGTGTAAAGACAGACACCATTAAATTGGTTAAAGATCACTGATGGCTTTATTTTCCCCCAACTCGGTGTATTCCAAAATGGTTTTTCCTCTCCTTGCAATTATTGCTTTCCATGTAATTTTTAAAATAAGTTTAGCCCTGGCCAGTTTTCTCAGTGGTTAGAGAGTTGGCCTGCAGACCTAAGGGTCTTAGGTTCAATTCCTAGTCAAGAGCATGTACCTTGGTTGCAGGTTTGATCCCCA